CTTCTTTCAAGAAAATTACCATATAAGGAAATTTTCAAGAAATCAGTGGTGAACGGGTGAGAGTTTTTTTTTTTTTTATGGATATACTAAATCTTTTTTATAGCTTAAAGGCAAATCTATATAAAATAGTTGTAGAATCTTTATACAAAAAGATATTTTCAATTTATTACTTCCAATATTACTTTACTTGTTGTATATCAAGCTATATTTAAAAAATAGATATACCAATCCTAATTGTAACTTGAAAATTAACTTGTATAGATTGGTTGCAATATCTTTATATAATTAGGTATTTATTTTTCTAGATAGCTAAATACTATTTAAAATAATAATGTAGATTTTAAAATTTCTGTTTTTTTATATTTTTTAAATAATACCAAAAAGTATAAAGGTATGACTACTTTATATAAATCTTGTGTTAAATTCTTTTTAATAATATATTATGCTATAGATATTATATCTTGTTTTGCAAGTGAATAACAATAATTTAATAAAATGTGATGGTCAATTGCTTTTTTAAGAAAAGAAAGAAAGAAATATGTTATTTAATAAAATTCTTATTATATATTATTAAGTAAAATACTAATATTATAAAATATTAATAAATAAAATTTAAATTAACAAAAAGTATATATAACAATAAATTATAAGACACTATTTAATAAAATTTTTATATATTATTTAATAGAATTTTTATATATTGATCTTAAATATAATTAATAAATACTACTTAATAAATAAATAAATAAAACAATAATTTATTAATAATATAGAATATATTTATCATATGACAATATTTTTTAAAAATTATTAATAATTTGTAAATTTTTATTATAAAAATTTCTTCAAGTTTTTTTATAATTTTATATATTTTTGAAAACAAATCAATTTTTTATTCATAATACAAATTCAAATTTTTACAAATAATTTACAAAAAATATAAAAATAAAACTCATTTTGTTTTATATAAATTACAACATTATATTAAAAATCATTTGTTTAAATCAATATTTAAAAAGTTTGTCTCAAGAATAAATAAATAATTTTTTATAGTTTCAAATTTTATTTTAAAATTAACATATTTTCATCTTATAAATATTTGAAATTTATTTTTTATAATATAAAATTAAATACTGTTATTAATATATACTCTATAAATTCATATTTATTAATTCGATAATAAATGTGCAATATAATAATTTTTTAAAATGCGGTTTGATTTGAGTTACACGAACATGTTATGAAAGTTTAAATCCATAATTTAGAAAATCTAGATGGACATGCTTTTAAAGCATTGGAGTTCAACCTTATGCACCAAGAAACCGCGGTTACCAAATATTTCACAAACTCTTTATAACTCTTTTCCTCGCGTTCGACTTTTTCATGCCTCGACTTTTAAAAAGTCTATAACTAACCATTCCGGCATTGTTCATAGGACAATTAGACCATTGCCAAAGAGCATCGGAAAAAAAACATTTTCACGAAATGGCTTCATGCGACGATGGCATCCTTGGAATTTAAACCTTGGTCGAAAGTGGAGCACCCATGAAGACGACATACTCATCAGGCGTGCTACCATGTACGGGTGGAGACACTGGGGTGTAATAGCCCAAGGATTGTCTAAGAGAACATCGTTTGAATGTCTCTGTCGATGGAAGAAACTCAAGTTTTTGATCGATTGGTCTTACACCCAAAATATTTTTTTTTCTCCGGGAGATCTTAACTTGTTTTTGAAACGGGTGATGAAGTATGGTACCGACTGGCGAAAAGTTGCCCGTGGAATCAGGAATAAATCGGCAATTCAATGCGAGAACCTCTACTACAACATGCAATCTTATTTAGCGATAAATGAGCAATGCGCGCCAGTCGGTTACAAAAAAGTTCAAAGAATCATGAAAAAAGTGGGATCAATGGGAAACAGCCTGAATGTAATTCACGAACATTCAAAATGGGATCCCGAAGATCTTGAGAAGCTCAAAAGTATCGTGAGACAGCAACCTTATTACAACGTGATCTGGCGTATTGTAGCAAAAGAATTCCCGGGGAGGACAGCCGTGCAGTGTTATAAAGCATGGCATCGTACTTGGGATGAGATGGAAATTCAAAAACTTCGAGAAGCGGTTGCAAAATATGGAGATGATTGGGATTCTATCTCGGAACAGGTGGATGGGCGAACACCATTGCAATGCAGGGATCGGTGGAAAAAAATGAATACGGAAATGATTCGAAAAAGACCTTTCACACAGGCCGAACTTCAACTTTTTCTTTACGTGATGAACGATCCACCTATTCGTAGGGATCATAGAATCGATTGGGTGCATTTAACAGGAAAATATTTTCCAGGTCGTACCCCGTCACAAATGCTCAAGAAATGGGTGAACATTTGCAATAATCCGTGGACGAAACAAGAAACGGAAATTCTTTTGCAAAAATGTAAGGAGTACGAGCATATTTCGGATGAAAATCGGAAATGGGTAGAAGTGGCAAAGCATCTTTTAGGACGGAAACCTTCCGAGTGTCGGATAAGAAGGCAAATATGTGAGATTAAATATAAGAACTGGTCATTAAACGAGTACATTGAGTTATTTAACGCGGTAAAAGAGCATGGGCCAAAATGGAAGGTGATTTCAAAAATATTAAAAAGGCGGCCAGATATGATCGAAAAAGAATACAAAAAAATGCAAAAAGGTGACCAAAAACTATACAAGTTTCTGGTCAAGTATGAATCGACTCTTGTTAAACGCGATGTGTGATAGAATTATTTTTGTAACACGAGATTAACATCACCAACCACTCCGTAAAACTAAACTTGCGCGCGCGAGATGGCGAACGCAACCATATTTTTTTTTATTGATTCTTATAATTTACACGATAAATGATAAGTGAATATCCGATATGTGGTAATTTATGTTGTCAGGATAATTAGACGCGACATTCAAACAATGAATGAGCGAATAAATAAATAAATAAATGAATGAATCAAAGTCCGTTAAATTCTGAAGGAGTGTAAAAAAAATGTCCTAGTTTTTCCCCAAACATAAAATGAATGAATGTATTCTAGCAAAGTTTCTTGTCATTCGACTAACCATATCAGATAATTTAAATAAAACATATTTACAAAAAAAAACAGAACAGAATGCACATAATGTCCTCTTGCTCTAAACATTGTCTTTTTTTATGTTCTCGCTCCGCTTCCTCCCAGACACGACATGAATATTACAATACGACTTGTATTCGTCAAACTCCCGTTTCAAAACCCCCAAATACTCGTCATATTGTTCGTGAGTGACACCCCAGGCGGGTACCAAAACCGGTTGCACAGCCTTGGAGAGCATTATCAAGTCGTCAGCCATCGCGCTGCCGATTCGGTCACCCCATGCACCGATGGGCACCTGACGTGTGATGTGAGTGACCAGATCTAAAGAGGTAGGCTTGTGACTACGATATAGTTGATCGAGGCGAGTCGAAATCGTGAGATCAATGTTTTTCGTTTTCATTATCTCAATCCCTGAGAGTTAAAGAAAGAAAGAAGGTGAGAACGTAATAGAGTAAAGCGAATAGCACATAACAAAGAGCGGCAGATCAACAAATGACTTACATGCATCGCATAATTTTGTAGACATCGGACCTCTGTTTGACCCCGGAATCTCAAACTCCGTGCTCTGAACATTTGAAAAGAAAAGAAATTAATCAATGAGCCACGAGGATCGACACGGTTCGTATAAAAAATTTTCGAGAAAGCTTACCTCGATATAACCACCAGGTTTACAGACCCTTATTAATTCCTGCAGGACTTTGTTCTCCCAATCACCCAACTTTAAGGCGGAGACCATGTTCCGCATGACGACGAAATCAAATGTGTTATCATCAAACGGGAGACCTTCGAGTAGATCAGCTTCCTCGAAATATACATTTGGTGGCTTTATCTCCTATCGTTGTCAAGAGTGAAGAAATGGGACAGAAATTAATATCCGAAATTTAAGCTTCCGCACGAAATCACCAATGAAGAAAAAGAATAAACCATGTAATCACCTGGGGGTACATATTTGAAATATCGATGCCAAAGAATTTCGAGCTCGGAAATTCGGTAGCCATATCTAATAACCACGTTCCGGGACCGCAGCCCACATCCAGTACCTTTGCGCCATTTTTCAAAACATTAAATACTGGCGCGCAGTAATTTGAGCGCAGTATAGAACGGGCTATATAGTGTTGCACAGTGAGTCGGTCTATTTCCTCGTCGTCATTAGGTAGTTGATAGGAGCAATTGTCGAGGAAACGACGACCATCAATGTAGTGATAAGAAGAATTTGATGAATATGATTTTAATGAAGAATGTGATTTTGAATGTTTTGAGGAAAATGAAGAGAATGTGGTAAGTTTGGATGAGGTGGTTGAGGGATTTTGACGTTTGTGAGAAAAAGCGCGTCGATTGTTCGCAGCATCCGTTGGTTTTGAAGCTTTGCGACGTTTTAGAGATGACTTTGTGCTGAGAAGATTGCCCATTTTTGGTATTGTTTAAAAGAAAATATGGTTTTCGTTGACCTATTTCTAGGGTAAGAGAAATGTTCGAAAAAAAATCGATGTGAATGGTTTTATGTTATGGTTGATGTGTCTCTTTCTCAATATCGTCGTCGGGGGATAGCGTAAATTATTCTTTATGTGTGATCGTTGCGAAGTTTGCGAGAGTCTTCGTTAGTATGCTCAGAACAAGTCGTGGTTTATATAATACTTGTTGAGAATGGAAGACGAATGTTTTTTGAATGGCGTTGCGGCGTTATTGGCGTCTTTAATATATAAATTCTGAATCTTCATTTATAGTTCACTAAGTGCCTTTTTATATCCTTTTTATATACGCGCATACGTATATAAACTGTATATGTCTATTGTTATAGTGATTTTTCCTTCTGAATGATAAACATAATGCGCTCACAATGCATTTGTTTGCGTGTGAGGTGAGTGATTTATGCGCTTATGTTTCTATTTTGGTCATATGCAGCAGTACGTCGCACCGAAGGATGTCTGTAGTCAATCGCTTCAATCGCTTAACAATTGAGTTACGTACTAGTGACGATTAGAGTGACATCACTTTGATTTTTACAAACTAAAATAGAATTGTGCGAGGTGCAAAAAAAAAAAAAAAATTTTCGTTTGAAACATTGTTTCAAGGGATTCTTGGGAAGTATGAGTCACGCACGGTTACCCCCTTATTATTTCCGATGTCCATTGTCTTTCATGAATCCGCCTTCCGTTACGCTATGGTGTGATTGCTTATTATTTGTTGCGAATTCCGCCGTATTATGCCAGGACAAATATTCCGAGACTTGCACCCGATTCTCTTTACCCATTATGAAAGATCAATGATCCCTGTGGGCGAGAGACAGACCGAGGATCATCCGGAAAAGGTGCACAGGAATCGGTAAGAAAAAAAAAAAAGTTTTGATTCAATTTTCTTATAATCGTTATTTGGTTTAATTTACTCCTCGGGAGGAAGGTAAATTAATATTACCATAGAAGGTGTATTTGGCTGACGCTATAAAATCACAAAAACAAACACAGTCACGGAGACAGATGCAACAGGCGTGTCACAACAATGGGGTTGCCACAGTTACACGATGGAAATTTCCAAGACTTTCCCAATTATGACAAATGGATATTTATAAATGCCACCATTCTCACTAACATGCATGCACAATTATCATTCTTTCATGCTCAAAGAACTTTCTTATGGCTTGGCAACGTGGCTGGCATTTGTTCACCTTTCGGAGTTCGGACATCTGTTGTGTTCCATATGCGTCTGTATACATGCGTTCACCTGATCGCAAATGTGACATTTGGCTTGGCCCTACCATTTCTTTGCATCGATTGCTTTAAATGTGTATAATGAAAATGAACCCGCACGCAATCTAGATAAATATGGTAAATAAAGAAACAAATACTAGGCTCTCAGAATGTCAATTTATACTGTAAACCCGACTTCAATAAAACTTAATGGGCCGATGGTGCCTTTATTTTCTTCTCACGCAAGACACACACGTATGTACAGACGCGCATTCCTCATCTCTCTCGAGTCTTTCCGGAAAATCAATCCACTCGCAAAGAAGACACCTTTGATTCAGAACATTCTCGACGTCGGAGAAGATTTCAATACAACTAAACTCATCGAAGAAATTGATCCTCTTATTTGGAAACAAAGCTCGCACAAGCAAAAAAACCTAGATTTCATAAGCTATTCAATTCCATTTTCATTATCGCTGATTTTCGATCGGTGATTATTGTACATACTGTGCATACTTATGTACATTCGTGTCACATTACATTTGCATATGGTGTGGTGTGATTCAGGCGAGCCAGTAGATTCTACAATCATGTAAAGCCTGTCAAAAGTAAATATTTCCCACGAGCAAATAATCCAAATAATCCAAATAATCCAGATTTAAATAATTATAGTTATTCGTTGCCCTTAATATTGTTCGCATCGATTTTTGCGGGGTGAGAAACAAACGCGCGCATTGATCTTGTAAAGTTAGCATGGACATTCGATGACAGCAAGAATTACAATGGTACATGGGTATAACGCGTACAGATTTTCATAGATTATCTAATCTAAAAATAAATTTTTTTTTATATACGTACAGTACACATCTCGAAAAAAATACTTTTTTGATTAATATGACTTCGTTACTCTGGTCCACCCTCGGAGCAAAGACGTTTCTGAAATCAAACACAAAGTATTCCAATCTTGCCATTAATATTTTCACTCGAAAGATTCACAGCACAAAGGTCTTTGTCACACCTTCTTCTTTCTCAAAGTGTATTCCCAAAAATGTTGCGATCAGAGTACCAGTACCCTATTTCAAACGTGGTTTGGCCACAATAACTAATATCGACTCGGAAAACATAAATCATGGTTTGGCTACTAGTGTAAGCACAAACGATACAAATAATAATAAGGCAGTTCAACCAGAGTCAATAGAGAAAAGTGTTGAGGCAGAGGAAATTATAAAAAAGAAACGAGATTATTATTTCGAGAATTATCGTGATAAAACAAATTTCGAGCTCTTGGAGGGTATTTCTTTTCCGGTATCTACTTGCCTTCTTGATCATCTATGCGATCTGTCGATTAACCGAATTTCTATCATTTTTTACCAGATTTCCCAGCCTGGCTTGAAGGATTGGGAATGAAGGCTGTGGCGCCACTTTTCGAAGGTAAAAAGTGGCAGAACGTAGTCATGCTGCAATCGATCGATTTAAAAATGCTCGGTATATATAATGTCAATCTTAGGAGAAGATTGGTTAGACATTTCGCGAGGGTCCGAAAGCATGTAGGAATTGGATGCTTATGAAACCCTGGAATTCAAAGAAACTCCATGTGTTTAATTTAATTGATTTGGGCAGGCCAGAATTTCCGTTGAAGCTGTAGACAACGCTGGTTTTGATGTGACCGCAGGTATTTCAAAACATTCAAACCGTTCTTTCATCACGTGAACGTTTTTCCTCTTACCTATGCGTGCTTGACTTCGTTTAGATTTGGAATGCCTCCTTCATTCGTTTGATGACGGGCTCGGTGATTTTGCCCCGTTCTTCGAGGGAAGAGAGTTGCAAGAGATCAAAAGAATGAATGATGAAGATTTGATCAAAATGGGTATTAAAAGTGCAGTTAAAAGAAAAAAGTTGATCGAAGGTTTCAATTCGTTGGTAAGCGGACTTTCAAGTTCTCAATATTAAATTAGGTTACATTTGAATAATTGTTGGAATCGTATCTCTACAATTCCCAACCACAGGTGGATGCTATTTACGAGAAGAATAGAACTTATTACAATGTAAATTATGTCGAAGAAACTAATCTCGAATTACTCGAAGGTATTGTAGATTTTTGGATTATCATGCAACAGAAATAATCAATTTCCATTCACCGAACTACCATCACCCTTTCCATTCACAGATTTTCCAGCCTGGCTTAGCGGTTTGGGGCTAAAATCTTTGGCACCATACTTTGAGGGTAAAAGTTGGCAGGAGATTATCAGATTAAGAGAAAGAGACTTGGACGAGATAGGCATAAGTAATGTGAATCATAAGAGAAGGTTGATTCGGCACTTTCAAAAGGTTCAAGAAAATCTGGTATGTCAAATTTTTCTGTAAAGAGAAAAAATAAGGGATTCGAATAAATCATCACCGGTATGTTTTGTTCGATATAGCCTGAGCAAGAATCCAATTTTTCACTTGACAATTCCGAAGAGAACAATGATAAGACTGAAGACAAGGGCATCGAAAATTTCAAGGTCGATCCGAAAATCAGGGAAGGTGCGTCGACCATTCATTGACGTCTCGATTTACATTGTCTACATCTTTTATTTATTATTCATTATTGTTACTTTGATTGACCAAAATCCTTTGTTCAGACTTGCCATGTTGGTTAAATTCACTTGGTGACGGATTTGGAGACTATGCCCCGTATCTAGAAGGCAAAGAATGGTATGAAATTATAGATCTAGGAAAGCCAGATTTGAATGAGCTGGGAATTAAGGATGCCAAGATAAAAAATAAGTTGACCATGGGATTTTCGTTTTATAAAAGAGCGCTGGTAGGTCTAAATTTGACTTGATTGGTTTTGGATTAAAATTATGGTTATTCATTCGAAAGATATCTCAACATAGAAAAATAATGAGGCCGAAGAGGCTGTTTCAAGAATTCATATTTATCAAAAAGAGAATTACATTACAAAAACAAATTTCGAATTATTGGAAGGTATTTAATGCTTGGTCTCATTTATTGAGGATTTTTGTTGTGACTTATCTAATGATTCTTAATTAATGTACGATAGATTTTCCAGCTTGGCTCGATGGCTTAGGGATGAAAGTGTTGGCGTCGCGTTTCGAAGGGAGAGCATGGCAGGACATCATTAAGATGGATTGTTCAGATTTGGAGAAATTAGGTGTTCCCACAAAGGGTCTCAGGATGAAATTGGTTAAACATTTCATGAGGGTTGAACATAACATGGTGAATATGACGGCTTGATCGCAATCTTCATAAATTGAATTCCAATTTAACATGTGCATAATAAATAGAATGAAGATTCATCACCTGAAGAAGATAAAACGGAAAGAATGAAAGACTCTGAGAACTTCGTTGTTGACTACGAAGTAATGGAAGGTGCGTCGATACCGTCCATATTTTCTTCTCTATAAACTTAATGGATACCAGATTTTCTAATATTTATCGACATTCAGACTTAACCTGCTGGCTTCATTCAATTTGCGATGAAGTTGGAAAATTTGGTCCATTTTTCAACGGTAAAAAGTGGCAAGAAGTGATTGACATGAATCATAAAGATTTGTTAGAATTGGGTATTAGACATCGGAGGATGAGACGAATGCTTCTCGAAGGATTTGAAATCTATAAGAAAGCCATGGTAAGTTTACATTCATAATGTTTCGGTGGCATATTATTTGATAATTCGGATTTCTTTTTGAATAGGCCACTGAAAATCAATGTGAACATGAAATGACCGATACTGACCCAATTCCGGATAGCGAAAAAGGCAAGGAGGTTTCAGCGACTCTTTAAAATTACGAAAGTCACATGAACTTAATTTTATTGGTTAAAAAGTGAGCATAATTAAAAAAAGAAAATGGCAGCATCCACATTTTCACGTTTTACCTTATAGCTGTTGATTTTCAATAAACTTTGTCCTGCATTGTACATACTTCAAATGTTATTTTTTTTTAAATGAAAGATGGCATCATGTATTGTTGATGTTCACAAAAGAATAGAGTAACATGGTGATGTTTTAAAAATATAAAGAACAATATATTAATTACAATGAGCCCAGAGAAATTATATTAAATTATTTTGCATTACTGCTTATTTGCAAATTTTTTAATATACTTTGTACAACTTCAGAGGCGTGTAAAGAATTTCAGTAGACAGGACTCATCTAATTGATGCCATTTGTAATGTTTGTAATGAGAGTACTGGAGAAGCAATCATTGTCGTGTTTAGAGATGGGTGTGCAGGAGTGATTCGTTTTGTAGAATTTCTTATTGACTGTCCTTCGCTTAAAGATCGATAAAGTATTCACAAGCTAGAATTGATTCGTAGATATAAGATCATCGACAGACACGAATCATAGATGGCAAATGAAATCAGGTAAGGTCATATCTTGGTATTCTCAAATATATTATTATATTTAATGTAATATACTCTATATATTTTTATTTATTTATTTATTACATAAATACTAACAATAAAAACTGTCAATTGATTTTTTTAAACAAATATTTATTTAACCATGTATACAAAGAAAACGTTCTAAACAAAGTTTACTATAAATAAATAATAATAAGTTTTTAAAAAAATATACTTTTAAGCATGATTTCAAGTCCATTAACAATATCAAATATATTTCTTTCTATTTTAAAGATTTAAAAGATTTTTTGATTTTATTATACAGCCTATAATTTTTTTGTAAATATACTATATATTATTAAACTTTAAAAAACAGTTAATAAAATCATATAATCAATAATTATACTGTATTATCATATAGTGATATGATTATGCAAAATATTATTTTACTGTAATAACTTTACTTATTATCATATTTTATTCTAATAGATAAAATCAATATCTTGCCGCAAATTAAGTTTGAAATATGTTGATACAATGCAAAACCTGTTCAATTAATTATAATTATCTTAAAAAATAGTTTTGTTTAAAGAAATATAAGTGAACTTAAATTTGTATACTATAATATATTAGTTAAAAATAATTTATTTAAAATAATATTACTTACCAATTATTTAACAAATACTGTATATCAATTTACAAAATATAAACTTGGTTATAAATTAGTTTTTTTTTTTTTTTTTTTTTTTTTT